AACGCTCGTTCCGTTGAATTCCGAATCACTCCGTTGACTTTTTAAATTTCTTCCTTCGTATCGCCTTGCGAATCGAGGTTTCGTCAGAAGACTTCGAACCTCGAAGGGGATTTTGTTTGGAAGGTTGTTACGCTCCTGGGAAAATGAGCTGTATGTTATTCTTTTTGGTATAGGAGAAAGTTTATACCAAACACCGGTTTGTGGTTTGTAGTCGAAGCAAGAATGGAAAGTTTAATTGCTCCAAACGGTGTAGGGAATGTAGATAGTGGACCTTTAAAATTTCGTTAACAAGATAATTTCTGTTTGATTTAAAATAATAGTTTGTGGATATGAGTAAATATCGAAATGTCGGAGGAATTTTTCTTGACTTTTGAAGTTTAATGTAAAAGAACCCAAATACAATTCGGAAACTGTATTTCCGCTTGGCCTTCCAAGCTGTTTCGATTAAAGATGTTTCGATTATACAATTCTTAGTGGATTACACTTTCATCGTAGTAACTACCTTGACAGAAGGAAAGCAATAAAATTTGTATAAGATTATTAAAGAATGCGCCGTGTAAATTTAAATCCATCTGGTGTTAGAAACGCGTGTTCGATAATAAAATTTAGGTACTACAATAACGAAATATAATTGTCAACAATCTTATTAGAACGTTCAATAAAGTTTCAACAGTCTACTGCGATTTTTGTCTCTCCTAATAACTACGAGATGTTAATCACCTTAACACGTTTTCATTGTTGACGTATTACACGATTCCGTCCCACCTTACAGGCCTTTTACATTGCTTAACAATCCTTGAATATAGAACAAGTTATAATGCCGCTTGCCCCTTACTTTCCACATTCGGCTCTGCTATACAGATTGTTTCCTGTTCCGAAATTTAACACAGTACGATGAGAGAGCTTATTGAAATTCTAGCCAGAACGTTCTCCGCGTTCATTGATAAACTTCACACGGCGCTGCATTTTGCATTTTGCACGGCGTTGAACAGTGCATGCAGCTTAAATAACAAATTTATGTAAACAGAAATACTTTTTATGAACTTTGAGTTGTTAAAAGAAATAGGCAACGAAATTACTAAATTAAAGTTGAAGATTTGAACCCATCACGGCGTAAGTCATAAACAAGAACATTAATCGTATCTTTCGTTGGTTGAAAAGACTTCCCAATTTTCAAAATTTTAATTAAATATTTTTTGTTATAATTTTATACTAAAGAATAGTATCCCTTGGGACTAGGGAGTAATTTTTAATTAAACGAAAGCATTGGAGCGAAAAAATTCCGTATACGTAACAGAATTAATCCAAACTAGATAATCGCCTGAAAGAGTAAAAAAATGTAGAATCGTCAAATATAAGCGCAAGAGGGAGATCGCGAAAACTGAATATGAACAACTTCAAACGTGAAAAAACATGATCAGGATATTCACTCGTCTAACTTTAATAAAGAAAGTAAAACTAAATAAAATTCTTCTACCAAAAATATGCGAATTACAAAACCGATTACTGCAAATATTCAAAGTAATTACGAATAAGTAATTCCAAGAAGCATCGACAAGCATTCTCCTTGGGTGACGATACACCACACGATATACTGTCGCCGCTAATGTTTGGTTGAGATTTGCATATGTCTGTCTGGCCTATCCATTCCTCGGTACGCCAGTGTGTCTCACCTTGTTGTCCCTCGACGTGTATACGACCGGTTAGATCCGACTCCCGTACTTCTGTATCG